GTCAGGGGAGCTGAAGATGCCGAGGAAAACTTGTGCCTAGCAGAGATGGGGAGAAGAAGAGAGCTTCTCAGGGTCCTGGAGAAAAGAGAAGTGATGGATGGAAGAAGCAGTAAGGTAGAAATTTTTAATAACTATTTCTACTGTAGACCTGGAAAGCAGCAGTGTTATGTTTTGGTATCATAGGTGGGTGATGACGTTTTTTCTAGCTCATTAGTAGCCAAGGAGGATTTTATGCAAGGTCCAGTGGAGAGAAATATTTTTAAATGAAAAGGGCCTGACAGCTTGCACCTAAGACTCCCTAAAGAGTTAGCGCATGTGATGTGAGTTTTTAATAAAGCTTACAGACTGGGAAAATGCTGTCAAGAGCTGGTTGGGGTAACTGTGGGGAAGTTGGCAACACTTTGCTTATCTCTTCTGGGCAAAATAATTGAAGAGACGATGTAAGATTCAATTGATGAAGAATTAAAAGATAGAAATAAAATTCATGCCACTCAACTTAGATTTATGGAATATAGATCTTGTCAAATAAACCTGATTTCATTCTTCCAGATGACAACTTTGGTTGATAAATGTAGATGAAATAGACTCTGCAAGGCATTGAACACGGCGCTGCATGACATTGTGTGTAGGAAGACAGAGCACGGGGTGGTATCGCTAGCACGGGTAATTAAGAGCCAGCCAACAAATTTTGGGAATGCGGGGGCTTAGCTGGAGAAGCATCGGTGAATGGGAGAAGTCATCAGGGGCTGGTGGGAGCCACAGTGGTGGTTAGCATTTTCGTTGGTGAATTAGAAATGAATATGCAATTGCGACTGATGAGCATTGTGGATAAAACAAAGGCGGGTGGGCAGATGAAGAGCAACAGGGATGGTTTGATGGGGTGATTTGGAAAGATTGTCAAGTGGGGTGTGTTGGGAGCATGGTTGAGTACAATCTGCCATGGTGCCTGGCTAGAAGAAGGGAATTGGGTCTGTGTACAGAGCCAGGGTGTGGTACCCCAGAAGGCGGCAGCTCTGTGGAAAAGCAACTTAGTGGAAAAGCAACTCCTTCCAAGCACAACGCTGGGCTGAGATGGGCTAGGCTGGTTGTTGAGTTGTGGAGGAGGATGGGGGGGTGGCTTCAGAATGGAAAAATATGTATATTTTGAAGCCTACGTTGATTTCAGGGTACACAGGTACCTTTGGTATGTGTAGGGGGGCACATTTTGTACTAAGGGGCTTTTCAGTATGTCAGCCGAAAAAAAAAAAAACCCTCAAGAAGAGAACAGGTAGAGGTTGGAGCCAGAGAAATTCACGGGGACCCCAGTACCCGTCTGTGAGTGTGGTTAGCTGTGGAAGCTGACTGCCGTGGCAAGCAGCGGGTGCTCTTCTTGTCTTCCAAGCTGATTTGAATGGATTTCACTGGGATTTCATGCTTTGCCCTGAAGACTGTTAGCGGGGCTCAAGGAGGTTACACTTTACCCGAAGACATCATGCTGGTCATGGCACAGGACAACTGAGTGACGTGTTGTAATGCAGGAAAGGTCAGAGAGTGAGAACTGGTGGTCCCTTTCACCCTTAAATTCCTTGGTGCAAAGCAGCCAAGGACATGGGCTCCAGCCCTGCTGCTGGTGACTGAGGAGGGCTGGTTCACCCTCTTCACATGTTGATCTGAGGGGTTCCTGCTAGCCCCTTGGAAACTGGCTGAAAGCTCTGATGGAGTTGCTGCTTTGGATAACACATCCCATCGCATTGCCCTGGTGAGGACGATGAGGCACGAAGAGCCCCATGGGACCATCTCCAGCTCTGTCCTTGGCCAGCACGGGCTACTGCATCTCCCTGCTGTGCTTTCCTTGCTTGCCTGTGCTCTTGCCTGAATTCTTTAGCTGGGAAGCCCATGTGGACGTAGAGGCTGGCCCGTAGCTAGGAGACATCAGTGGATCCACAGCCCTAGGGCCCTACAATCCCATCTGGTTTTTGGGGAGACCTGAACGCTGTACCAAAAAGCATGGTGGTGGGACAGGAGGAAGGAAAGGTGAGTCCCTTCCAAAACCAGGGTTTGCCACAGCGGTCTAAGGACCCATCTTGCCGTTGACGGGCAACGCATGGATTAGTGCCATAATTCTTGCAGTTTGGCAAGGCTGCATCGGACTGGAACGTATCTCTAGGTGGTGATGTGGTCAGTCAATAGGCTTCATAATTAATCAAGCACTAATAGACAAATTAGAAATTGTGTCTCTTCAAAGCAAGAGGTGAAGGCAAACGGCTGGTGGATTTTAACTGTTTCACTGCTTTATTTTATTGCCTAGTTTTACGTTGCTCCCTTGGAAATGTTGGGTTGTTTAGGGAAGTTTTGTACGTAAACATGATTTTAAATTTAAATTATTATCTTGATTACCAAATGCGGATGGTGAATTAAAAACTTGTTTTTCAGGCAAGCAAATGAAGAATAATATTACATTTTACACTCCACTAAATCAATGTAGCCTTAATTTTGCCATGCAGGAAATCAATTCCAGTCTTTATAACAGTCGAAGATGTTATGAACAAAGTAATTTTGCAAATTATGGCAAGTAACACATTTATTGATGACTGTAGTTTAGGAATTTAGAATTTGTGAGTGCTGTAATATAATAAGTCTGTACTGGCAGGAGCTGAGTGAAATACAGATTATACGGTGAAACTGTAATGGATCATTTGCTATTAGTGGACTAGTAATAATTACCAGTTTCAAAGCAGCTTTTTCCATGTAATCTTTAGTCTCAGTCGTAACAGCCCTTCTCATTGACATTATGATTACATGAGCTGCCCTTATGATCTAGAATATCTAGTTGATGGGAATACTAAAATGTGGTAGTGAACACTCGATGTTGCATCCTCATTATAAGATAAAATGCTATTTTTTCTGACCTGATCTATAAGGTAGAGAGGTGAGGTAAGCGTTATATTGTTAGCTCCTACCATGGTGTTAAAAACATCCACTTCATTAGGGCGAAGTAAAATGAAATTTTCCCATTTAAGATTTTTTTCCCCTAGCTCACAAATGAGCATAGGAATGTGAAAGTCCAATTGAATTTCCCTCTAATTTCAGCAGATTTAAGTATTTATCTGCACTCGCATGCCTGGCACATGCTCAGCACCACAGTGCATTTTATTCCAACGCCGGCTTCAGGATGAAACGTTAAATACTATTCCAAGGGCTTTTAAAGTGACTCAAGTGTTAAATGCCTGCTGTAGACGATCGAATCGCTTTTTGCTCACCCGATTCAGCTTGTCAGGCCAAACGTAGAATAACCACAGAGCCGGGAGGCAGGGAGGAAAGCTGCGATGGGGCATTACAGCCGGCACTGCGGGCTGCGTGCCTGTCCTATCCCCAAATCATCACCCAGCTCGCTGGAGAACGAAAATGCCCATACGAAGCCTTTCTTCCCCTTTTCCCAAGTGAGATGGGAAATGAGATGGTTGCAGATAAGGCGATGTTTTATTTCCAAGTCAGTCTTATTTGTGTGGGTTTTTTTCTCCCCCTCTGTTTTCTTCATATTAGGCAAACAGAGGGAACTTGGGGGGCAGCTCAGTGCATCATGTAAAGAGGTTTACCCAGGAGTGGTGCCTATGGAGCAGATGCCTTGTAATGTAGATATCGGGTCAGGGCAGTGGTATGTGGTGTGGGCAGGTACCACCCCAAGCAAGTCTTTGGAGGGCTCCTGTGGTTTATTCAAACCTCAAAAGCATGGGTTTTTTTGTTTGTTTGTTTTTTTTTTTTTTTTTTTTTTTTTTTAAATATCACTAAACAGCAGCTCTCTAAGAACTGCTGGGCAAGGCTGGAAATGAATTTTCATCCTCCTCTTAGCTCTTGTTTCAGTTTACCAGCATTTAGTAAAAAACATCCATAGGGGGGTGGAAGTGAATTATTCTCAAAATTGCAGTACTTGATAAAAGCGCACTCACCTTCGCCATATCTCACACCACTCTTCCCTCGCAGGCGGCCTTCAAAAAGTTATTCATCCCCCTTGTTTTGCCATATATTAGAAGGGGCTGCTTTCTGCTGTCATTATTAGCCGGCTTTTTGTTTAGTTATTTATTAGTTGGTTGCTCTTTTATAATGTCCGTGTTATCTCCAAAAATAAATTATCATGAAATAGAGTTAGCTCACTACTTGCCAAAGTGGCATTTACCATCCTCAGCTTCTTTTCAGTGTGAGAGAAATAATGCGGCTTCGGCAGGGCACTCGGCCAGGCCTCC